CGCAGAAAATTGCCGATCGGAGCGTGGCAAGCGTGTGGGCTCTGCATCTACTCCACCAAATTTGACGCCAAATCGCGTCTGATCAGATTGATGATCGTCAATCTTTGATTCAATTGAAGGTTCAATGAGCTGAGTCGTCTCAATAAGCAAAATATGTCCTGATTTTTATTTTTTTGTTGATTTTTGTTTTTCTTAAATGATGTTGCATGTCGATACGCTGGAATCTACTAAGGTGTATGTGGTTTTAAATTGACGTATATATATATATATATATATATATATATATATATATTACACATTGTGATGTTTCCTATTGTGTGTTTAAAAGAATATTCTAGGGCCAATAATGGCCTTTGTTTTACGGAGTTCAGATTCAAAAGTGTATTATAGTTGTAATTAAAACTTTGACTTCTAAGATGGGGCCTGATTTTATTCCAGTTGGTTTATAATAGGACGTGAATTGTTTTTCTTCGTCTAGTGGCTAATTTAAATTGATATGAAAGATTCATACCATTTATAGTTTACAATTAGCAGCAGTTTGTACAGGGATATAGAAAATATTAGTTGGCTTAGAGTGAAATCGAAAATTAAGTGTAATATAATTGACAATTCAACTCACGTTAACTCGTAAAGTATTGATAACTCAAGTAGGAGTAAAAAAATAATGCATTTTAGTGAACTTAGAGTGAATTATGTTTCTCTTTTCCCTGGGAAAAAAGAGTCAATTTAAATTTTTAGATTGAAGATATTTGACTTGATATCAAATTTTACTGTATCAACACAAGGACAATCTGTTTTTTCTTGTTTTTTTATTAATATTTATTACTAACTTTCTAAATTAGTTTTCTACATTTTTTTGAAATACTAATAATATAGTTATTATTATAATTAAAAATATTTTTTATTTATTATCTTTTTAAAAGAAAGTGCGTGAACAAGTGAAAGTAAAAAGAGGGACAATTTAAGTCATGTGGGTACAGCTTTTAAGTCCCAAGCTGTGGGAAAGTTGACTTGGCTCATTGCATCAGCATTACTTGATAAATTAACTTAGTATCTATATGTATTTTTATACTCATTATTTATACCAAATCAAAAAAAATACAAATAATATGCCTTTCATAGACATATTCAATTATTCATATTCAACCAATAATTAAGTGTAATATATCATAACTTTAAATTTTAACTAATAAAATTTAATTAGTTAATTTAACATAAACACAAAATATGAAAATTATGTACGCGTTAGGCTTCCCTAGTAGCTAGATGAGAAAAACGTCACGAAGTGGGCATGCAAAGAATTGGTTTATTTCATTTTATTTTATTTTTAAATAATAGTAACTTTAACCATAAAGGTATTTTCAAAGGATAGACATAAATATAAAAAAATTGAAAAAACAGATTGAATTGAATCTATTTTCAATTATTCATGTTTAGATCGATCCGCTCGTTGATTAGTCCTTCGTGGGTTTCCATCCGGACCATCAATTGTTGAGAATTAACACTAGACTATCATTATTTCACCAAACAAAAGAATCACAATACCAACCTTCTTAATGAACATTGTTCTTTATAATTACTATTGGTTTGGTTTCTATCTACGCAGGTCGTAGGTAACAGTAAATCGTGTAGAATAAGGGTTAAAATTCATTACTACATATCAAAAAATTTCTACTATTTTTCACCTGTACTTTACCTATAAAATAGTACTACTAATATTTTCTTACATGTTAATAGGCTGTCTCTGCAATCCAAACTTGTCAAGAATATTCAGCTCCCAAACACTCAAAGTCATTCATTCAACTGAATTCAGTATTTTAAACACCGCCACACAAGATATAGATATATGTGGTCCGCAAAGAATACTAATATATATATATATATATATATATCCTAAATCCGTTAGTTTGAAAGTAGACAAAGATTTAGTGGTTAAAACTTTAACGATTGAATCCCTTAAATTTTAATTTGGGATTATATAACAAGAAGTTGGTACAGTAATTTCAGTATCTCCGATTCATTAAACTTGAAATTGCAATTGCACTAATACAGATAAAACCCAAATCACTTGGTCTGTCCTTTAATATCTACCCTCAGTCCTTTTTTATTTGTCCAATTTTTCCTTTTTATTTGTCATTTTTGACAAATCAAGAACGGACAATTTTATTTATACCTATTATACCCTCAATTTATTAACATTAAGTTAATATCTTTGAAACATGTAGTAAGTAAAGATATTTGGGATCATATTAATTAATAAGGATAAAATGGTAAACTGTATAGCAATCAAGATTTTCTTAATAGGTGAGTCAAATCAAAATTTTACGAGTAAAAAGAGATAAATGAAGATATATGCCTTTATTATTTCTCCTACAAATTAAAACCACTACATTTGAAGCCCTTCAACCACTTTTCCTAGCATTGATCTCTCATAAAACTGAATGAATATAAATAGAATGTAATTTGCTGGTACACTTCTCTCTAAATTCTAACCACTTGATATCATACATAAAAATTCTAATATTACAAGTTGAAAAAAGGGAAAAGGAGAGAGACATAATTGTTCAGCTAGAGAGACTAGTAGAACAATAAATTGTAAGCATTTACTTTCATCTAAATCTTATAGCAACAAAATAATAATAATAGTTTACCCAACAGCTGGTGCAACAATTAAGGTAGCAGCGGCCTTATGTATCCGCGGTCTTCATAAAATTGGTGGAAGGTACGGAGTAAGAACTTTAGATCCGTAAGGGTGGTTGAGTTGTGTAACATGTGGTATCCAATAAAGGTGGTTAGAGTTCGATTTTCCTCAATACTTTTTTTAGTCGAGCTCGTTGCACTACGTTTACCTAGTGCAGTTTACATTTCTCGTGATAATTTATGAGCTATTACATAGGAGTTTACTCAGTACACACCCCAAGAATAACAGTTGTGAATTACCACAGAGGTTTCAAGAAAATATATAAAATATTCAAGAAATTGATCGAAATACACATAGTTAACATTGAAATCAGATTGATAGATGACAGGTCAGCGTTTAAGTGTGTAGAAAATAGAGAAATATGAAGTTTAGGGGGTAATAGGACATCCGTGAAGTTGGAGTGTGTAGTTGGGATTTCGGGTATAGATTGAGGGGGTTTTAGATCATTTTCTCTTGTAATAATAATGGAAAACACATGAATGTGACAGATCATTAGTTATGGTAATGTAGGAAATAGGTGACAATCAATCTATTTGTGTTGCTGACTAGGTTTTTACTTTTTAGTATGGTATCAACTATCACGGATACATAGTCAATTATGGAACTGGAAACTCGAAATTTAATCTGAAAATCATATTTATAACTCCATAAATTAAAAATAGATCGTAGCAATCATGAATAATGTCTTATGAAGAAATTCGAAATTTAATTTGAAAACCATATTTTTAACTCCATAAATTAAAAATAGATCGTAGCAATTAAGAAGGGCGATCCATCGGTCCCAAATATACTTCATTTAATATACGTACTCTTTTAATGAAAAATGAATAAGGTGCGTCGAAATATTAAATGATGGAAGTGAAGCAACAACGAAGACGTACTAAAGATTCATAGAGAAAGTAAAAATGCATTAATGTGAGAAATTAAGGAAGAGAGAAGTTCATGATTTTATACTAGCAATTAATGCCCAAGAATCACGGGCCACCATATAAAAATAATGAGTCCACTAACACGAGATGTTTTGTACACCAGACTATTTTCTTCCATGCGTTACGAGTATACAAAATTAAAACTTTTTGGTTGCATGGTTTGTACTGTCTGTACTCTGCTTGCAATGAGCTGTGTACAAATCTTTATATCTGCCGCCTCTACTCCTCACGAGCCTATTTATAGTTTCACTTGTTATAAACCACACATCATAGTTTCCACATACACAAACAGTTTTACAGAAACTCCACACAAGAGTACTTTCTTAAAATGACAAATGCAGCTTCCAATAAAAATATTTTCCTTAAACTATATGTTTTTTGCCTTGTTTTGCTATCTTCTTTTATAAATGAAGCTATGGGAGTCCGTCAATTATCTGAAGAATACATGATAATGAAGCCTGAGTTGATGGATCGTCACAATAAACATCCTTTTTTTCATGGGAAGGAAATCAAGAATTGCTTACCAAAAGGGTTCAGACATGCATCTGGTCCAAGCAGATATGTGAACAATCATATATTTGGTGAACTTGGAATTGGATGTTCACAAGATTATAAGCAACCTTAATTAGCTAGCCCAGCAATGTTGTTATGAGAATAACTGATGAACTAATTTATACGAATAAGCGGTATTATTCTTTTTATCTAGTTTCTAGTATAATAATTCATGTTTTGTTTCGCTTTATTAAAATTGACTATAGTGGAGTTCAATTTATACTTCTGTATTTTACGTTACTGGATATTTTGCTACTTATCAAGAAAGAAAGAAACACGAAAATTTTACATTATGCACTCTCTGTTTCTGTGTTTGTTAGAGTAGGCATGTACAAGTCTTGAACAGAGTAAATTGTGAATTTCTTTTCTAAGGTCTCGTTTGTTACTAACATTAGACTTACTAATTAGACACATGTTGACAGATTATAAGTTGTTAGGAAGATTTCATTTGGAGTTGAAACATTATAAGAGTAATCTTACGTAATTTGGCAGAAACAGGGTCGAACATAATTTCTAACATTTTCAACTCAATATGATTTCTTAAAGTATCGTGTTCAATGCTAAACCTCAAACATGAAATTCTGCATGCATTTTTTGGAAGGTTAATAGGGGTAGAGATTAAGTTACATAATTTGTTCTCAAACATACACCAAATTATTTCATCAAAACTTCCCCTGCAATTAGACTAACCAAGGGAATATTGAATTAAATGCTCATTTACAGAAACTGTAGCAATTTCAAGTGAATTAGCACCTAATATACAAAAGCAGCTTAGAGCCTGGTAACAAGAAATCGATTCATCAAAGGGGAAAGGTGAAGAAGAGAATAAATAACCAAGGTCCACTGTATTAGCGAAGCTATTGAGGTTTCTTTAAAATGTCACAGAACACCTCAAGATAACAACATTAAAGAGTGGGCAAAATAAACCAACAGTTGGGCGTGTAGCGTTACAGATTTCCAGAAACAAAGTAATAGTTCAAAGACATTTTTGTTTAGGAAACTCTATAGCAACAACGGAAAAGAAAAATGTCGCAGCAAAATAACAGGATAGTCCATAACTTTAGCTATACAAGTCATCATCATCAGCTCCAGCATTAGAAGTTGTGAAGGGGTCAGATGCAGCAGCCCCACCACTGGTCTCAGAAAACCGAAATTCAGTTCCAAAACCTCGAGATTGCTGTAAGGTCTGAGCAAATGCCTGGTATTTACGAATATCGGCATCACTCACACTTCGTCGTGCATACTTCATGGACTCCTCAAAATGAGCAGGCTTAATCTCTGATATCTCATCATCAGCATCCTCATCCATAGAATCAGGATTCTCTGCTCGCCTCTTTTCCTTTTCTATATCCTGTAACAAGAACGCCATTTGACAAGTATTAAGATGTTAACCATGCCCATTTAACTTAATTTTGAAAAAAGAAAGGTTAGCAACCCTTGCAAACATTGACATAAGAGACCAGCTAGCAAGTTAACATGGAGTTTAAAGCAAGAGATGCACAGCACATAGCTGTGTTTCAAGAAACGGAGAGGAGATAAACACTTGAATTCAGACATTTATTTTGGCAACCATCAAACTGAAGACGACAAAAACCATTAATAAAGTACCGAAGAGCACCATTATTTCAATATTTCAGCACAGATGATGACACAAAAGCAACTAAAACATTGTCCAATATAAGTATCAGCAGTGGCAGATCCATCTTATCTTAGCAGCAGCATGTGCTGGTGCATACGCATACACAAGCACACAGAGTATGAATATATTTTTTATATAACTTTATACTAAGTCCACACTCACTGCAACAAGGTGGAGTGATACTTTCACCCACTAATTTAGAGTCTTTAAGACCCCAGTATCAGTAGATGTACAACAGTAAACAACACAGATAAAAAACTGTAAGAACAAAGACAGATGATGTGACTTCAAAGACTTAAAAAACAAAACCAAATTTATAAAATTAAGAGCAGGAGGACTTACTTTCTCAATGTTCTCTCTTATGGCATATTTGCATGCCCGTTGACAGATCTCAGTGATATCAGCTCCACTAAATCCCTGAGTATACTTGGCAAGAGCTCTCAAATCAATATCTTTTGATAGGGGAGATTTTCTAAGACATGCCTTGAAAATCTGATGGCGTGAGTCTTCATCTGGCAGTGGGATATAAATTAACTGGTCAAGTCGACCAGGTCGCAGAAGTGCAGGGTCAATAATATCAGGCCTGTTTGTGGCCCCAATAATAAAAACAGTTTTCTTTGCATTCATGCCATCCATTTCAGTCAGAAGTTGGTTCAGAACCCGATCAGCTGCTCCACCAGCATCACCACTACTGCTTCCCCTCTGCCAAAAAAAAAAGCAACAATCTTTGTAAGCAGTGATACACGGATAACTACTTTTTTCCTGTTTTCCCTCCTTTTTACAGATTTATCTAATTGATTGCCTAATTAGGAAATATGTGCTGTCTAAGTCCACATAATCTGTCAAAGAGTTCCTGTGTTTGCTTACAACAAACAATTTGGTAAACTTGAAAACTATCTTACCTGAGTGGCAATAGAGTCGAGCTCATCAAAGAAGAGGACACAGGGTGCAGATTGTCTAGCCTTGTCAAAAATTTCACGGACATTGGCCTCACTCTCTCCAAACCACATGGTAAGCAGCTCAGGTCCTTTGATACTAATGAAATTGGCTTGACACTCATTTGCAATTGCCTTGGCAAGAAGAGTTTTCCCACATCCTGGAGGACCATAGAAAAGAACACCTTTTGAAGGTGACATACCAAATTTCTCGAACTTCTCCGGATGCTCCACTGGGTATTGAACAGTCTACATAATATGAAACAAGAACAATGATGAAACCCTCCTAAGACAGAACTTAATGGCATATATGAATGCATCAAGACCAAGTTATTGACTTCAATTACCTCTTGAAGCTCTCTTTTGACATTTTCAAGACCTCCAATATCTTCCCACGAGACATTAGGCACTTCAACAACCTGCACATAATTTTCACGGAAGAACCCAATAAATTTGTGAACTTAAAAAAACACAACCCATCTATTCCATCCATAAACCCCATACAGACAAAAGGACAGGATTATCATAAGCAACAAGAACATTGCACATGATCAGATAGAGCTACATTACATAACTGGGTCGTAATAGGCTACTTACTGTTTCACGCAATGCAGATGGATTGCTTGTTCCTAGAGCAGTTTGGAAGTGCTCATTTGTGACAGCCATTGAATTCAATATTTCAGCATCAATGGAATCATCTTCCAGATCAATGACATCCATTTTCTCTCGAATGCACTGAAGTGCAGCTTCAGTGCAAAGAGCAGCAAGATCTGCACCGACATAACCATGTGTATCTTTTGATATTCTTTCCAAATCAACCTGCAGAATCAAATACTCGCCATTATGCCACAACGACAATTTGATCCCGAAAAAGAAGAAGGAAATTCAATAAGTTGGCTTACTTCTTCTGCAAGCTTCATATTCTTGGTATGAATACGAAGAACTTCAAGACGTCCAATTTCATCAGGAACACCAATGTCAATTTCCCTATCAAACCTACCAAACCTTCTGAGAGCAGGATCAATGCTGTTAGGACGATTGGTAGCTCCCATAACTATGACATGAGCACGAGATTTCAGTCCATCCATCAGTGTCAGGAGCTGTGAAACAATCCTTCTCTCAACTTCACCATGTGTCTTCTCTCGCTTGGGAGCAATTGAATCAATCTCATCAATGAATATAATAGATGGAGCATTTTTTTCTGCCTCTTCGAATGCCTTCCTGAGATTGCTTTCACTCTCACCAGCCAATTTGGACATGATTTCTGGTCCATTAATGCAAAAGAAAAATGCACCTGTTTCATTAGCCACTGCTCTGGCTATCAGGGTCTTCCCAGAACCAGGGGGTCCATAAAGTAAAATCCCCTTTGGTGGTTTCACACCAATGGATTTGAAAAGTTGAGGATGCCTCAATGGTAATTCCACCAGTTCACGAATCTGAGCCATCTGTTTTCTCACACCACCAACGTCATCATAGCCAACTTCGTCCAGTCTCTCCTCGTCCTCCCTTTTAACAGGCTCCCCCTCACAAAAGATTTCAGTGTCTGGAGCAACAACACAATACTCCCCTGGGTCAGTCTCAATGACTTTGAATTCCACACTTCTCATCCCTCCTCTAACAAGGAAATTGTCTCCTTTCCTCAAAGGACGATATGCTTCCAAAAAGTAAGCTGCAAAAAGGAATATGCTTAAAATTGAGGCTAACACAGACAGTGCTTACAGATAAGGTGGATACAAATTCACTAACAAAGACGACAACCTTCACCTCTAATTTTCACTGCCAATTGACAAAATCAAAGAGTAGAATGTACAAAACCAAGGAAAGACCGTTAATTGGAGATAATTTAATAAATACTGGAGAATCCCAAAACAGATGCACAATAACAACTGCTGCAACTCCACATTCTCCAAAAAAACACCCAGAATTCTCCTGGACTATCATCTCAAAGGTTGTACTATCAACAGAAGGAACAAGACAGAAATTATAGTTCTATAAGATACAAACTTAAAATCGCACTATGGCCCATCAATAACGAGTTTCCCAAGTAAAACAATATACCCAGAGTAATCAAGTTGTTTGATGGAAAAATCAAATTATTGATATTCAACTTGTCCAAAACCAGTTGAATTGCATTGCACACAAATTATCTAACTAAAGTCCGCACTAACAGATGGTGTCTCCTTTTGACGGTACCACTGAAAGAACAATTACCTTCAAGAGCTATTAGGTTTTAAATATACATACTGTGAAGCAAGGATACCGAATTCTGTTGATAGCATTATGGTGCCAGATACTAATTAGGCACCCGGGCTTGTCTCCTTAATTCAGGGAGCTCAGAATTTAAATCTAATCACAGTGAACAAAAACTAAAACCAGACAAAGAGAGTATGATGTATTGTTTGTGATTGTGAAAATCAAATATCAATGATATTGACAGTCTTTTTTCATTATCACTACTACCCTGTTCCTTCAACCCACCCTTATTAATTTTTAAATTTGATGAAAAGTTCAATGAATTGGAAATTCCTATACCACAACAGTACAGAGAATAAAGCCTTGAAATTGCCAAACTGAAAACCATGCTTGAGCTATTCAATTGGAAAGAAATTGCATGTGTCAGTACACTTACGTTTCAGAAACGCATCAAACAAATCCCCAGTGAGACCTTCTATTGTATCATCTATAGGAAGTATGTGGACACGCTTCCCATACTTAACATCTGGGCATTGGTGCACAGACACAACATCTCCAAGACGGACCCTCAAATTTGAACGGACAACCTTGTTCATCCTAATCTTCGGCTCATCGCATGTTTCATCGGCAAGTGCAATGACAACTGTATCCTTCCTTTTCTTTCCCTGGATTAAAATGCAGCACAAAACTATTGAGTCAATTGGATGAACAGGCAGACAAACATGCAAACAGATTCAGAAAGGTAACCTCATTTAAATAGTTGTTAAAATTAAGCCATACGCACCATGAGAAAATTACAACATTGTTTTTAAAAGTTAAAAAAGCACAAAAAGAAAAATGCAACAAGATCAGTGGGCCACTGGGGGTTGAAGTGACAAGTAAAGCACGTGCTTTCTTTAAAGTGAAGCACACAATTTTCTGATAAATTAAAAGTAGCATGCCAAGCCGGCGACACACACACTTGTATGAATGCAGTAAGTTATAATCAAATTTCAATTGAAGTAACTAATTATAACATCCACCATACAATAGTTCACAATATTAATTTAACTCCTCATTACTGAGACTCAAAGAACCAACTGTTTCTCATTGAAATCATATAGTGTGTCTTTGATTGAGCCCAAGCTTATTTAAATTGAGAGCATCACTACACCATATCTCATGACTTCAAACAGTATTGTCGAAGTGGTATATGTCTACTATTATTCTGAGTCTTTTCTTTTTATGTAGTGATAAATTCAGTACTATGATTCAGAACGTCTTTTCCATGATTATGTAATATAGCCAATTAAAATTGACATATAGAACCTATTGGCATCTGCTCATCAAGGATTAACAGAGTATAATTCAATGGCACAGCATAAGCTAGGAACACAGATAATCCCCACCAGTGACTAGAACAAACGTGAATAATTTGTCATTACAGACTCTTTCCTGACGGATCATCTTAGTTATTGATCTCCCCTCGACACAGAAACCAAGTTCAAAAGAATACCTCTACAGCTTGTGACCATCTATAAATAATAAGTTGCCTTTCAGTTTAAACAAGTATATGTCACACCTATAACCCATAAAATTGTCGGTCCCATCATCAAACAAGCAGAACAAACACCGCACCTCAAACGTAGAAACACTAATATCCTATGTCTAAAAATCTATTGGCAAGTGTAAAACTACTCAATCCACCAGATTCACCTAAGCGACGAAAAAAAATCAACTACTAGCAAAGTGATCTTCACTGTAAACCTTATGCAATCAGATTATCCACATCGAAACCCTAAAAACACGAGATTTAGGCGAAAACCCCAAAAAGTAGGATAATTAGAAAACCTTGATGAGAATTGTATCTCCACGGAAGAGCTGTAGCTTCTCCATAGTAGCAGGGTGCAGTGCAACAACAGAGTTATCATCGTTGACCGCCTCATCAACAACAAGCCGATTAGGAGACTTCTTCCTCTCCAAAATCGCGGTAGAGAAATCCTTCTTCGCACCTTTTCTGAAAACAAAAAATAAAGTAAGAATCAGTAATCACAATACAATATAAATCTCAGAACTTTCTAGAAACGATTTCCAGAGTTGAAACAAGTCAGTAGATCAACCGATGGAGAGGAGAGAGAACTTACGAGTCAGATGACTCGGCCTGGTTAGTCATCTTCAGAGATCTAGATTAGGGTAGAGCAGCCGAGAGAAACTGGAGTTTTGCTGGAGAAGAGAACAATGAGTGCAAGAAAGGGATATGGAAGAAGTGAATTACCAATTTATTAAACAGAGAAAAAAAACACGATAAAAATTAAATACGAACTGGCGTTCTATCTGTATTTTCCTGCTTTTGGACGATTCTATAATGTAGGTAATAGGTGTATTCCGTATTTCGGAGGGTTAAAAAAAAAGTGTTTCGTATTTGGACAATATTTGGTTTTCTAATAAGTAAACAAAGAAAAGCAGATCAAATATATTTTGATATTTTACTTGTAATATTTATAAAACGTGTGATAAAATATTATTGGGATTTGTATAAAAAGTAATCCTCATTTGATTACATTTCTTCTGAGTAGAGGATCTATCACATACAACATGTTTACTAATTATTTACTGAGGTACGTAAGGTTCACGTACAAGGCAGAGCTAGCAAGAGCATAGAGATTCATCAAAATTTCATTCGATGGAAAATACATTATTTATACATAGTTAATTTTATTTTTTATGTATATATGTTGAACTCATTTGATTTTTTATTTATTTATTTTTTAATGTTTCTTCATATTTTTAACCTCGATACTCATTAGACTTCTATGTTGTTGTAATGTTATCTTCTATATTACGAATTCATGCAAATAAATTTATGGAATTTGACCTTCGTCAAAGTATACTAATTGTAAAGTGACGACAAATTTCTATCCTCGAAGTGATTTACAGAACAATAACTAGTTTTTTTTTCTAAAAACAAAGTGCAAGAAAGGTCTCAATTATTTGCATATTCCTACATTGTCATGTCTGCCCATCAGAGACCCATGATATCCTATGAATGTCAACAGAAATTCCAGAATTTTTAACCAGATAAATATGGCAATTAACCAATAACACCTACTATAATATAAAAAACTTTTATTTATACTAGTAATATATGGTAGATAATTGAAATTCACTGAAAAATAATCACCTAACAAATGAACACATGGAAAAAGACAATGAGAGAAAAGGATATTTTGACAATATATATTGAACTATTATGCATTTATTTGAGTTGGCATTCGTCAAATATGCTACTCTTTTGGATGTGCTGTAGCAGATGAGACTATTCCTTTTTTAATTAAAAGTTTTGGATTCGAACTTTAAATATAGAAAAATCTTTAGTAGAAAGTGTTTCCTCCTAAATAAGACTTTACGTGGCACAAATTTAAAATAATCGAGCTTCAATATAAATAGTGAACACCAAACACTGAATGGGAAAAAAACATGGTACTCCACTAATTATAACTTCCCGAATTGGTAAACTAAAAATAAAGTACCACTATCCATCTTTAGTTGTGGTTTTTCTGGTTGTCTTACTTGTATTATACTAATATATATAATAATAATAACTAACACTTAGCACCCACTCAACAAATTCAAACAGTAATTGAATTTTGAATATGTTTTATGGAAATTGTTTTTGTAAGTTACATATAATTTTATTTTTCATTTATTTTGTGTCATTAAATAATTTTTTTATATATGAAAAAAGAACCTAAAAATATTATTTTCCTCGATTTAATTTAAAAGTTTTTCACATACTATCTCAGCTAGCAGTAATATAAAATATTCCCTTGTTTACTTTCATCTATATTTATTTTAAATTTTACACGCTTCTTAAGAAATAATTATATTTTCTTCGAATGTTAAAAGTTAAAACTGATGATCAAATTGAATTTATTTTTTTTATATCAGAAACTGAAAATCTATTAATAGTGCACTGTATACAAGTTCAATTGTCACTATCTCTCTTTTTTCTTGAAAGAATAAAAAAAAGTTACTTATTTAAAAGAAAAATTCTTAATTGGACCAAATATATATTGTATAGAAATAGCACAGCATTGTTTGTTTTCGGGTCAAAAAGGATCCATCAATCTCATAATTGTACTCAACACTTCAGTCTCACTCTTCCTTGTTACTTGTCTGGTTTCCACTATCAGCCTTCATCATTTGTTGCGATTTCGATCCAGGTTCGTGCTTTCTGCTCTCCATCTTCATTATTTGTTCAACAACTTCACTTGTTTTTATTTTTTTGGACTTACTATCTTGAAGTTCGAGCCTACTTGCAGCTTTTTGGCGTTTATCGTATGAAGTTTTAAGCTTTTTTTTTTCAGTAGTTCAATGGTGCTTGTTAGCATTTGCAGTGCTTAAGTTTTTTTTTTTTTTCTTGTGTGCTTCTGTATTTTCTCTTATGGGGTTAACGGGTTTTATGGAGTTAAGTGAGTTCAGTGTTCTGTTTGTGAAAGGTGTTTGTTAGAGCAGAAAAGGTTTGTGCTTTATGTTCTCTGAAGTTCCCAAATGAACAAAATTATGCTTTGAGTTGCTAGAGAGAAAAAGAGAAAAAAGGGGTTCTTTAATACGAATGTTTTCATGTATGTAGGATTTATTTATGTAGGTCATCAGCTTCTGATAGACAGTTACTTGTTTTTATTTTTCTTCAATATCTTTTGATTTTTCAAAAGCCTATGTGAGCTTTCTCAAAGCATAGGAAAGGAGGAGGGTTGCTGCAGGATCTGTCCTACCTAAAAAAGGGTGACAGCCAGCCTAGGATAGTTTAACAATGATGAATCTTCTGAATACTTCTCATGTAGAAGAATTAGGTATAGAAGATTCATATAGCCGACCCCAACTAACCTGGGTTTGAGTTGTAGTTGATTGATTGATTTATGTATTTTGATCCTTTGCAACTATAGTTGGTGCTGAAGGCACAAAAGGAGAATTTGTCCCGGTGCTTAAAATGTATTGTCTTTTGTTGTTCTTTTCATAACGAGCTATCTGTGGTGCTTGTTAACTATTGTTGTTTTTACAGGGCTGGAAAACGTTTTATAAACTGGTGAAGTTGGTCTAAGGAGGACTCAGTTATGATATATTGATTTCCTTGTGAAACGAATTTCCTTGTGAACCTTCAGTTCAGAGTTCCATTCTGGAGTAGTTAGACAGAATTGGAGAACTCCAAAGGATGGACGAAATACAATCCCAATCAGATCATTATAGGTCTCCATCTTCTTCAGTGAGTAGTCCAGCTAATAGGTTACCGTCAAGTAATTTCTTCTACTCAAGGAAACCTGGCGCACTTAGACAGCCAATTTCATTTGAAGATTCACCTGTTTGGGATGAGACAGATATAGAGGTCAAAGTGGACGAAGGAGGTGATTCTATTAATGCTGCGACTACACCACCCTCCCCTTCTCTGTCAAAGATCAATAGTGGTTCCTTGCCATCTCCTTCTTTAATAGAGAGGGAAGTTGTTACAAGGAAGATTGCAGGAGCTTCTATTGCATGGAAGGACTTGACTGTAACTATAAAGGGAAAAAGAAAATATTCTGATAAGGTGGTCAAGAGTTCGCATGGTTATGCATTACCTGGAACGATGACTGTCATCATGGGTCCTGCCAAGTCAGGGAAATCAACACTCTTGAGAGCCCTTGCAGGTTTGTGGCATACAATATGTAGTCAGTTTATAGAAAACCATCCAGTTGTTTATATATGTGTCTGAGCTAGATTTCTTTCTCTTCTTTAGGAAGGTTACCTGATTCAACGAGAATGTATGGTGAGGTGTTTGTAAACGGGACAAGAAGGCACATGCCGTATGGTTCCTATGTATGTTGTAAGCATTTACTGTCATTTGTGGTCATGCTTGTATTCTTAATACGAAAAGATATAGGTCTGGACTGTGAACTTTGATAGCTTTGTTTTATAGTTTACAAAAATACATTAGCTGTTGTTCACTCTGAACTGATCTTTGGAATATAAAATCATTATCACTCTCCTAGTAATGACTACTGGTTCAGTGAGTTGATTGCCCCTGCTTTCTCTCTTTAATTCATCGACCAATCCTTTGGCTCTTTTACAAAAAGTGATATGTGTGTCCCTTTGGCAAGAAGATGTCACCTTTTGAAGCAAAACAGTTGTGCAACTGCTTCTAATGATGTGGCATAATTTCATGTAACTGATGTTTGGAAATCCCTTCTTCATCTTTTACCCCTTTTTAGTAGCGCAATATGGCTTATTCCCTGGTTGCGTTAGGAGTTGCCGGTATGAATTTAGGCCTGTGAATTCCTAAGCTTTAGATTAAAATCATTCTTTCCATCTCAACCAATGTCCTTCTTGCCCAAGGGGATCTGAAAACCATATTTTCAATAGGTTTGAGCATGCACATCTACAATCATATACTTACATCATCCAGTATAGACATTGAAAATAATAGCTCAAATGTTAAAGGTGGTAGGCTAGAAATCATGTTATTATTAAAATACATAAAGTTCGAGTAGTTTATTTGGTTTGAATTTGGGTTAAGAAGTGTTGTACTTCTGAGCTTTTTGGAAGAAAACTTCAATTTAATCAAGTACTCCCTCCGGTCCAAAATAATTGATGTTTTAGGCTTGGACAAATGTATTAAGGATTTCACTCACTCCTAAAAAAGAAAGATTTTGACTAAAGTTCCTGATTTTCTTTTCTTTTTAGGTTGACACGATTAGCAAGGTCAAATTTGAAAAGAAAAATAATTAAATAACCTCTTGGTTTTGTGAAACATCACTTATTTTGGACCAACTTTTAAAGGCTAAAATGTCAATTAATTTGGACGGGAGGAAGTAGTTAGAAAGTGGGCACTAGTTTTCCTTGTTTTGTCAGCTTGTGCCTTCTGACATGTAAAATGTACTCATTTGCAGGGATATGTTGACAGAGAAACTACTCTTATTGAATCATTATCTGTGCGTGAATTCCTATACTACTCAGCTTTGCTCCAGCTTCCTGGTTTCTTTTGTCAGAGAAGGAGTGTGGTGGAGGATGCTATAGATGCTATGTCACTGGGAGATTATGCTAATAAACTTATAGGTGGCAACTGTTACATGAGAGGTCTTCGAAGTGGTGAGAGGAGGCGTGTCAGCATTGCCCGGGAACTTGTTATGAGACCACATATTTTATTTATTGATGAACCCCTTTATCATCTTGACAGGTTCTCTTCTTACTTCTCGTTTTAAAATCACAACAGTTTTTTATTGAAGTTCATTGGGTTTACATTGACATATTCAGTATCCATAACTGCATTCGTGATCTTCGTAGTGACTAGATTACTTGAATTAGTAGCACAAAATAGCTGTCAAATTGTGTACTATGCTTTAGCTGCTAAAATAGCTAACAGCCAAATATTTGGTATGTTCTAGTTTTTCTGTCCAATAAAAGCATATAAGATACTAATGCTCCGTGTCTGTTTGACAAGTTAATTAGTCATAAAGATTGATTTTCTTGTCTTATATAGTATGTGCATGTGGTGACTGAGAAAGACCATGTCATTCATTGAACTATTGAAGTATGTCACTAAAGTTGGTATATGTCGATTCATGCTGGAAGTTTATATGATTTGAAAGGTCAATTAGTAAATATTTCAGCATTTTGGGCGAGCTGTGTTAATATTAAAAGGCTACAAGCTTTCTTTGGGAAAGACCTGCTAATTAAACTTAGGTTGCTAGCTTAGTGCATGCAGGTCTCTTCTAGGAGTTGGTTATCAGAAGATTTGTGGTCTCCTTATATGGACTTGGTAATCCTCCCCTTATGAGCTAGCTTTTGGGGTTGAATTAGGCACAAGTGCCATAGCTTTACATGGTTCCCGAGTCATACATGAACATCAAGTTAAGGGTTGAGGGAGAGAACATGTGATAGATGGTGATTTTCTTATTTGATGTTCTAGAAATTGATATTTTTGTAGCATATTCAAAATGAACTGTAGGTTTCCAACTGAATGAATATCCTGGTTCCCTACTCTCTAAAATTTTCCTTATTAATTCTCGTGTTTTTGACTTGCTATATTTTATGGTTGAGACTTGATGCTCTTGAATATCTTCTTCCTGTCAAAAATTATGAACTACTGTAAGTTAGCTGATGTTTAGTTCTTGTTATGTTCAGCGTTTCTGCACTTCTGATGATGGTTACATTGAAGAAGCTTGCCACCTCTGGCTGCACTCTGATATTCACCATTTGCCAAAGCAGTACTGAAGTATTTGGCCTTTTTGACCGAATTTGCCTCCTCTCAAATGGAAAGACATTGTTTTTTGGTGAAACTTTGGCTTGCTTACAGGTAATTTTACTTTGGTATGCTTCCTTACACTGTCCATCTTGGTTCAGGGGAAGGCGTTGGTTTTCTTAACAGTCATGCCTGCATCAAACAAAGGCATTGGATAATGAATGATACTTTTTTTCCTGCAATATGGGTTTGTTGGGTTTTCCTTTAATAAGAGAGACCCAGAAGTGGCTGTGGTTTATCTGAATAGGAAGAAGTCAATTGTTAGTCAGATGATATCCATTTTAAGAGAGAAATGAGCCCATGCAGTTGATTTGTCTGAAGTTCTTCATTTGTTCTCATTTTGCATTGAAGAAGCCAAGAATAGTCTAGCAATGTTGAAGTAAATATTTACTCAAGTTAGGATGGTTACTCTAGGGAACATGTCTTTTATTGGAGTGAAGTCTTGCAGGATAAGGTTGTGTCAGTAGGACATATTTGAAGTGCGAGGGTCCAGGTTTCATAGTCCAAGTTGTTACTTAGCAGCTTATTTCCCTACAAAGGTATAGCCTCTTATACGGTTTCCTTACACACTGGAATAAATCAACAAAGTTCAGTTTGTTGGTTTCTGACAAGAAGGAAGTAGTCTAGAGAAATACTGTTGAGTGTTGACAAATTTTCCAATGGACTAAATGTTTCAGAATCCATGGATAGTGGTTGGAAGAAAGAATATGGGTTCCTGTGGAAAATCAGTCAATGTTAACGGGGATTCGGACTGGACAAACTTACTTAAGAGGGCATGGAGGAAGATCAGTTCCCAAGTGTGTGCACAATGTGAAATACTACTAGAAATACATAGCACTTGAAATGTTTATTTTCTGCTCATTATGTTTGATATCATACTTTGTTCTTTATGTTACTAATTGTTAGAGACTAACATATCATTTAATTGTGAAGCACTTCTCGAATGCTGGATTTCCTTGTCCAATTATGCAAAGTCCTTCTGATCACTTTTTGCGTGCTATAAACACAGAATTTGACAGGATTATTGCGATGTGCAAAAGCTGGCAGGTATATGCCTATAAGCATTCAAAGCTCTGTTTTCCCCCTTAAAAACTCAATTCTAATGGTTAAAGATAGTGATTGATTTGTTGAAAAATTGTTAGGATGTTGGAACAATTCTAGCTCAGTTCATTGTACTACCTCTTTTCTCCGTATTTGTGCTATTGTTTTATTGTGCTGGGGAAAGCTCTTTGAGAAAGGAACAAAAAGAAATTCTTTTGCTATAAGATTCAAAATGAAAGTTCAAAGATCCTCATCTGTTCTCTGGCCACCCTATCCCCTCCTCCTTCACAACACTAAAAGGAAAGATGTTCCTTAATGTTTGTGCTTTTGTCATCTCAACAGGATAATCATGGAGACTTATCATCAGTGAGCATGGATACTGCCATCGCTATACGTACCATTGAAACAACTTATAGATCATCAGCAGATGCTGCTGCTGTTGAATCAATGATAGTGAAGCTTACTGAGAAGGTACATTTATCATTGAAAAGAGAAGGTATGTAATATGTTTGTAATAATGAAACTTGCCAAGAAGGTATGTTTTTTCACTGTTGTCACTGTTGACATCATGGGTAGTACTATCAACTTTGCTCGATCTTATTCCAAGAACTTTTCTAAGTGTCAAGTAGATCTAGGCAATGCATACTTTAGTGTGACCACTAGATAGTAGGAAGTATTCCGACTTTGATATGAACTAACTACATAAACTCATAAGTTATTATGCCTGCGTGCTCTGGACAGTAATATAATTCGAGCATTCTCATGAAGGATGCTCTTTTATTGGCTTTGGTTTGTTTTGAAAAACTAGATTGTCCTCAATTATCATTATCTTCTTGTGTGAACTGAAGTTTTTGGTTTCTTTAAGCGTAGAATGGAGCAGAAGTTGTCACTGTCCATTTCAATATTTTTAAAAATGCTATTAATTTTAGTTCCTTGGTCATTTAAAGCAGTTTATAGTCCTTGCTATTGTGTTAGTATCCCCATAAAGAGTTATTTATGCCAATATCCAAGTTAGAGTTTCCTCCAATCTCTGTTCCTTGCAATACCAAAGTTCTTTAACAGTAGAGGCAATTTGACAGCCTGTTGAAGTATTTTTGAACTCAATGCATTACTCCCTCTACTCTAAAAAGAATAACAAAATTTGGAATAAGAGGGTCATACAATTTAGTTTACGCCTATTTCATACATTGATTTATAATCTTTAAATATAGTAATTTCTCTATTGAGAATCTACATAAAAAGTCTTTATTCAAAAAAGCAGTTACATAAAAAGTACCGGAAGTCACAATTTTTTATAATTAGAACTAGTTCAAGGAATATTTGATAAGATCATTGTCAAGTAGAAAAAATGGCTTAGAAATCCTCAGAATGTACAATAATAAAAGTTTTAGTGGTCAAACGACTATACTTACAGCCTGAGCTTCAATATAGTGTCTGATCTCTTGCCTTTTGTCCTTTCAGGAAGGTCCATCACTCAAAAGAAAGGGAATGGCAGGAAATGCAACACGAGTTGCAGTTTTGACTTGGAGATCTTTATTGATTATGTCAAGGGAGTGGAAATATTATTGGCTAAGATTGATTCTTTATGTGTTTCTTGCCCTCTGTATTGGCACTGTGTTTTCTGGATTGGGGCATTCCTTGTTTTCTGTCATGGTAAGCGAATAACTAAAAAATAAAACCTGTCTCTTTCCTTTTGCATGTCTAAACTCTAATACAGTAGTCCATCAATATGATGTTTGTGCACCAGACCTCCAGTTTTTCTGGTTACACAGTACATGAAATAATCATGGACTGAGTTGATATTACTGTTTTCTTTCTCATGGTAAATATTTGTCATTACTAGCTCTTGTTTTCAGTATGCAAACTATGATATTTTTCTTGCCATGCAGAGAAGAGTAGCAGCAATATTTGTATTTGTTTCATTCACCTCTCTGCTAGGCGTCGCCGGTGTACCTTCACAGTTGAAAGAGATCAAGGTGATGCGAGCAACTTATTTGTGTTTCCTCTTTATAATGTACAAGCATGCTTCTGTGAAACTAATATATGTGAACACCATGTTCGAATGAATCCAGTACATGTGTGTATTTAGGAATCAAGGTTTGTTTTGTAGGCTGAGAGTGGACTATACACCTTCTTCATAGAAATGTGATCCTCATTCTAGTCTTTTCTTCAGTCTCATGAACTACAGTTTCCCCTTAACCCTGTGTGTCATAATCTATATATTGCACTCTTACTGTAATTTTTCTGTCGCCCAAAGGACTATTGTATCATCATTCAAACTTCTAGTTCAAATTAGTGGGGTGAAATGTAGACAAATACGGAGTTGAAGTGACAAATTCTCAGGACCAGGGTTCTCCAATAGCTGAACTATCTGGACTTATCGCTAGAAATGTGACATTTCTGGCTTGGTTTATTAAATCATATTCCTATTTCAATCTCATCAGTCCTGGAAAGTAAGCCTTTGAACTTGATTTCTCTAAGAAGCTGGGAACCTTTAGTATGATGTTTGATGAGGTGCAATATTGATATCAGCTTTTATTTTTAAGATAAGCCATTCATAATTAGCATTGCATTTAATGTGGATTGTGCTATCGATTTAATTTTTACTAATAACCTAATCATACACTAAGATGTATAGCAAAGGCGGCAAATTGATATCCCAATGACATCTAGGTCTTGTACTTTAGAGTACTTAGATAGTGAGTGTTCCCCTCAAATTAAGTGAACTTTTCAATTTATTATTGTTACTTTCTTTTATAAACTTTGGTTTTGTTATTCACCCTGATAATGAGTTATTATTGGTATCCTCATCCAGTTCAAAAATCAACCTAATCAACATCATGATGACTTTGCAGATATATACCTATGAAGAATCAAACCAGCATTCTGGGGCATTTGTTTTCCTACTTGGGCAGCTTTTTGCTAGCATCCCTTTCTTGTTTCTCATCTCCATTTCGTCAAGTCTGGTCTTCTATTTTCTAATTGGACTGCGAGATGAGTTCAGCTTGCTGATGTACTTTGTGCTGAATTTCTTTGCGTGTCTATTGGTAAATGAGGGTCTGCTGCTGCTGGTTGCTTCCATTTGTCAAAATATCTTCTGGAGCATCTTAAGTTTTGTGTCCATACATGTGAGTTCTGCCTGAAATCTAAATTTGCAAGATATGATTTACTATTGGATGAGTTACATTCTTTCCCTTTCCCTTTGGTGTAATATTGTCATATTCTATTGATTGGAAAGTATGCAGTGATTGTAGCTGTGTGTGTTCCTAATGTGTCGTAAGGGGAGTCAAGGTAGTTGGGGGTATCTGAATTGTGTGCAATTCTAGTTTTATATAGGATTCTTGTAGTAGGAGTATCATTTAATTATCATTTTATGTTGAGTTGAGAGTCCTAACTTTTTCATTCAACGGCTATCTTATCTCGTATTTCAGGTGATAATGATGCTTTCTGCTGGCTTTTTTAGAATCAGAAGTGCTTTGCCTAGACCAGCATGGATGTACCCCATTTCTTATATAGCTTTTCATACTTACTCTATCCAGGTAGGTTTGAGACTTGGCTTGAAGTCATAATCAAGTGCATACATTTTCTTGATCACTGGTTATCTATCAGGAAAATCATATTAATGGATTTCTTTTATCAGGGACTGTTGGAGAACGAGTACATCGGAACTTCTTTTGCAGTGGGGCAGGTGAGAACCATATCTGGTTATGAGGCTCTGGGAAATGTATATGACATATCTGATGACAGCAACTCTAAGTGGAAAAATTTACTGGTGCTGTTTGTTATGGCTGTTGCATACAAATTTGTCATTTTTATTCTGCTCAAGTGTTGTATCAGGAAAAACCACTCTGTCCACAAACTTTTCCGCTGTAACCAAAACAGAAAGGATTACAAATAGATGCTATACTATAGCAACTTCAGTTTCAGTTTCTAGGAGTTTATTGCTTATAAAATTGGCAATTGAGAGCATGGAAGTTCTTTTTTTCACAAATTTCATAAACCTTGTATGATTACCGTGTCATCTACTTCTCTAAAAGAAAACTATTCCTTACTCCTTTGGTCCATTCTAGTTGTAGTGCTTACTAAATATAATTATCATTTTAATAAAAATTAAGATGTAATTAATGGTTAGTTATTACCTTTAATCTTAATTAATGTGGAGGGATCAATACATCGAAAACGAGAATAGTGTTTAATTGAAATTACAAAGTAAACAAGTACAATTTAACTAGTTGCTCTTTTAGTTAATATTTTCTTAAGAGAAGTAACATGAGTAAAATGGATTGGAGTGAGGGTGTTTAGTTGAAGACTAACATGGTAGTGGACTGCCAACCACATGGGGAAAATGAATAATATTATTTACTTCATTTCAAAAGGAAAATTACCTTGTATAAATGCTTTACTAAAATAATATTTATTTATTTATTTGTTTGTAAAAGAGTACTCCCTCCGTTCCATTTTATGTGAGGTAGTTTGATTCGGCACGAAGTTTAAAAAAGAAATGAAGACTTTTAAAACTTGTGGTCCAAAATGAATGATAGAAATTTGTGTAGCTGTAAATCATTTCATTAAGAGTAAAATAAATATTTTATAATTAAATTGTTACTTTATATGAAAATATGTCATTCTTTTTTGAACGGACTAAAAAGGAGAGAGTACTGTTTTTATATATTTAGCTGATCAATATTGACGTAGGGCCAAACATGTAACTTTTCATCTTGAAGAAGGGCTTTATGCAATCCAATAAAAAAAAAAAAAAAAAGGGGAGAATTCGTTGACAAGTTCAAGGCGTAGATCAGTTGACAGTTCAACAGCCTATAAAAACCAGGTGCGCGCCAAACCCACCAAATTCCTCCCAGTTCACACGGGTCCGCGGATTTCTTCTGGATTACCCCACTGGTCAAAATGTATGATATTTTTCAATTCAATTTCAATTTCAGCTACTGATACATCGGAATCCCATGGCTTCATCGTCGTTTCTCACCGGCGAGCGAGCTGTGGTAGCACTATTCATTGCTTGGATTGTCTTCTCCGTCCCTCAATCTCTCCTCTCCGAATCTCTCTCCCTTTCTCTCCTCTCGCTTCTCGCCCTCTCCGTTGAGATCTCCGTCGATGCCTCTTCTTCAGTTCCCCTCTCTCACTTCTTCAAAACCAGGTTAGTTTTACTGCAATTATTATCCTGAATGAAATGATTTTTTAGGTGAGCGCGGGCCGGGGCGGGCGGAAATATGACAGGTAAAAGAGCTTGGGAGTGAAACATTTGAAGTTGCAACCACTAGGCTGCATCTTCAATTTACAATTTTACATAGTTTTCCCTTTGATTTATGTTGTTCGTTAAATTGGAAATCTGGGGTTGAGCAGGGCTTATTTCTGAATTGAGTGTTTTTTTGCTTGTTAAATGTACAGTTTTGGTTTATATACATAGTCTTGGTACTGTTTTTCAGGCCTGGTGCTTCATCAGGGATATTTTTGGGGGCAGTAACGCTGCCTGGTGTTATGGTATCGAAGTTGATTCAGATGTCAAGAGCAGTATCTTTAAATCAATCTGGAAGTGAAGGTAGAGCACTCATTTTTGAGTAAATTGAGCTTTTGTAGTTTGAGTACTTCGTATTATATTGGGAGCAAATATTTTCCCCGTCCCCCCGACTCCCGAGAAAATACTGCAGGGAGTGGACTACGACATTGTCATTAACAAGGCAATCTACGTTGATCAGAAATTTCAGAAATGAGCTCTTCCTTTAAGGATTCACCCTTCGTGTATTACCTCAAAGTGCTTCGTTCAATCAAACCTAATTTCTTAGTTTTACAATAAGACCAAAAACAATCCATAAGAATTTTGTTGATCTCATCAAGATGGTTGAGCTCAAGTTTCTTGGATTGGATTTGGTTGTGTTGTGGGAACCCATAGCAAAGGTGAATTCCTGGAAAATGATTGTTTGCTTCCGTCAATCCAAGCTCCTTGGTTATGCTATTGTGGCTGCCTCCACCACTGTTAAACTTCATCAAATATTGAAAATGCTGCAATGCTGAAGTGTTAGTGTTGTGAGCATTGAGCCTGAAGTAGTTGGTTATACCATTGCTTTAGAATGCTTTTCTTTTGATTCAAGCTATCATTCTGGTTGCAATCATCTATTATTTTTCTCAGCCTTTGGGAGCGAAGACATGGATTAGAGCATTATCATATTGTGCTATAGCCCCATCTGTTTTGGCAGATCAAATTGATCCCATCCTTTTTGAGGCCTCATATGCCTCTCAGCACGCAATTTTCTTTTTGCTAGTATGCCCAGATCTGGAAGAGTTTTAAGAACAGAAGTACTGGGGAGCTAAGCTGTTTAACCTTTTTAATGAACTTTGGTGGTTCCATGTTAGATTTTTACCAGTTTTGAATTTGTAATTGTTGCATAAATACCATGACACTTGGGTAAAAGAAAGTACTTATTGTTATTTACCCTCCATCTCTAAAATGCTACATTCGAATCACTTGAAAAATCTTCGAAAACTGGTTCTTGCAAGGATAATTCATTGATGAGCAAATGAAGCACTGTTTTGTTTTTTTTTAAAAATTAATTCAAATGAAGCAGTAATGACAGTGAAAGTGCAGTATGAAGAAGGATAACTGTACTGTAAATTGATAAGTTTTAAAGTACTATTTTCTGTATTCACGTAGCTGACTGTTGAATCTCCAATCTTAAATATTGTCAAGTTACTTCCCTTCTTGTGATGTTTCTACATGGAGAAACCCTGTCTAGTAGAGGAAATGTGTAATCTTGCTTCTGCTTGTGTGCTGAGAACAAGTTTTTTTTTTAATATTTATTTATTCACCTAATAGGTTGATTTCCATCAGTCACTTCAAAGTATTGGCGAGTTTGTATTCAGAAATTATGTTGAATTCTACCTTGCCTCACCAGTATGACTGACTTGTTTTAGTTTTGACCTTTTAACAGAGCTTGAAAACCTGCAACTACTGTATTGGGTGACATCTGCAAGTTGCTACACGGTGCTAGCTTACCTCTGCTTCATTTTTTACCAACAATCAGACAGCAAGAATTGTGCTACTTCTCGATGTAGCTTAAGTTGTATAGCATTGTATTTTGTAGTCTGCTGCGTGTCTTTTGCTGTGAAATCTCATTGTGGTAGGTCAACTTCTCTTTCTTTATATTCACTTTTTGCTTCATTGGTCAACCTAGTAAGTTGCTGACAGCTATGTACTCCTTAACAACTCTTTTGGTGAACTTCTCCTGCAGGGTGGTATACAGCAGCTATCTTATTGTGGCTATTCTCTCATGGATATGCAGCAGTAAAATTAATTCAGAATATTCTCCACACTTTTCCAGCATGTGCTTCAATTGGTTGGTCATGTTACTATATTTTTTACTTTACTAAATCTCAAGTATCGCAAACTATTAAATTGCACACTTGATATGAAGGTCCACCCTGTTGTGCGGAAATTCAGTTCACATTCACTCTCCACTAATCACAACAAAACTATGATTTTTCGGCAAGTTGCTATCGACAATATGAAACAACAACTATTTATGTAGAGCTTCATTCCGCCCATTTACCTGTTTCTCTTATTCTTTTCTCGTGATATCTTGTAGTTGATCTTTCAGAAAGGAACAGCCTAAAATTAAAAAAATTTAAAAGTTGACAGTTAAATTTAGTTTTTTTAAACTCTTTTCATGTGCTTAATTTAGCGCTACTCATATTTTGGGTTCTGTTAGTGAGAGTTTAAACTATTTTTTGATAATAATGATCTTTTTTTGTTTTATATGTCATCTTAAATTTGCATTAAATGATATATACAGATTGATTTTCTTTAAGAAAGAAGTATGGTTCGAGTTGAATGCAATATGTTTTTTTATTTAAAATTTGTATAATGGCTCTAAACCTTGATATTTATTTGGAAACATCTCTCGCCTATTAGAGAAGATTAAAGCTACTTGGGTATTGTAGTGTCTTTCTGTTGCAGGATTGGGTTCTATTCATTGATTTTATCTCATCTGACATTTGAAAGAGAATTCCGATATATTTTATGTCCAATCTAAGGGATAAAAACTCTCTGATACCATATCTCTGATTTGATGACTTTGAACAGTGCCAGATATTAAGTTGCACTGTTAGAACATATGTTCTTCCACACAATCTTGCACTGTTAAGAGCATGTTTTAATTCCACACAATCTTTATTTCTTGTTATTTCAGAGATCAGAGCCTCAAATCATTTGATATGTCCTATTTGGTTTGCTCTGTTTGATGACTGGTCCTCCAGTCCTCTGCACAGTTGTTTACGTTCTTATTTCTCTTCTTAGGAGAAGCGCTACTGGTTACTGTTGGTCTTGTTATCTATTTTGGGGACATGCTAGCTTGTACTGCTGCTAAGGTTAGTTTCTCACATTTTACTTTCTCTGATAGCAGATGATATAGATACCTAACAAGCAGTGTTTTTTCTGTTAACAGTCCCATGGGTACTTTACTGCATCTAAGTTAGTGACTGTACCATATGGAATCCAAAGAAGTGAAGTTAGCATTATTATTCAGGTATTATACATGCTGTTAACTTTCTAGAGCATTCTCCTCTTTCTGTGATCTAGAGTAAAAGGTTTCTGATTCACAGTATGTGAAATGTAACACTATGTTCCAGGGATTGATTATTGGCCTTCTTCTGTTCCCTATGCTGTTCAAATACGTACTTCAATTTCTTGAGCGAGCCAGCTTGGCATCTTCTAGAGATACCGTAGATAATCATATGAGGCGATCTTGTGTGTTCTACATTTCCCTCGCGTGTGTTCTCATTATAGCTGTACCATCATGGATGCAGCTTGTTCAAGATTTTCATGTGCACCCTATTCTATGGTAAGCCTCCCTTCAGAACTTAACTCTTTTGGATAATTGCACATATTATGCTGG